GGGGCTAATCTGCCCAAGTTCATTGCTTACTTGAAACGTCTCTTGGGGGAAGAGCTGGGCAAGTGGCTTTTTTTCCAGTGGGCGGTCATAAGAGCATTATTAACGGGATGACCAGCCCCAGACACAGCAAAATGAAAGCAACAGGAGCTGCTCGTGGGACTGCCTTTGCCACCACCCAGAGTCAGTGCTCAGGTAAAATGATTTTGGCTTGTTTTCTTCTTGTTCAACCTCCCAAAAGTGGATCAGGGGGACCTAGAGAAAGACCAAAGGATTGCCCAGGTTGATGCTAAAGGAAAGCTAGAGTCAAAAAGGAATACGGGCATTCGTTACCTTTGGGTCTTTGGTGTTTTTGTTCTGATTAGGACAGAGTGTACATCTGAAACAGGAGCGTCTCAAAATTAGGAACACGGTGAAATTTCAGTTTGTTCTATAGATTTAGTGAATTCTTTTTTTCTGCCTCTCATCTTGTCATTACTGGTCTGGGTTGTTGTTGTTCTGTTAAGTTACCTTCCTAAAGGGTGGATTACAGTAGCAGTTTCCAAGACTTTCTGGAGACAGATTTAGTATATACTTGATGTATGTGCTTATCAACAATTCCTGCCTGGAGAACTCTTGGTCCTGTAGCTGGGGGTGAGGGGGGCGCGGGGGGTGGGAGTCAGGAGTATGAAACATCAGAATCATCGGGGGAAGGAATGTTTGCAGCAGAACCTTTGTGAAAAAGAAGTGAAACCTGACTAAGTGAAATAACTTAACTTTTTTCCCTTTAAGAGGCAATATTTACAGCTTTTGTTTGTTTGTTTCTATCATTTGTATCCTTTATTGACTGTACATTTTACTTGCAAAATTAGTGCTTTATTCTTTCAGGGTAATCATGATACTTTGTTCAAGACACGAATGTCCTCGTTTTTGTTTTCAATACACGTCCTTTAATTATTAGCCTTAGAAACCACTTCCCTGTTACACATCACACATGACTGATAATGCAGAAAGACAAGAAAGAAAATAGCCCTTCATGAACTCAGTCATGGTGATGTGGCTGTTCTACCTTTAGAAAAGAATGTACAAAGTGATTTTCTAAGGTCCAATGGAAGCCATCTTTTCTAAGAGTATACACAAGACTTCCGAAGCCAATTTAAAAAGAAAAGATTTTAGGGCATCCTGTCCATTGAAGTTTTGTATTAGAAGAGAATTAAAGGGTCAGTGAGAATCGTGGCATGTCAAAACTATTTCATGCTTTCTAACAACAAGGATAGCCATTCTGAGCTAACTTACTTGGATATTTAAGCCAATTATGAAGCTCACACAGAGCAGTTCAAAGCCTTTGGACAAAAGAAAAAGGAATTAGTTTGGGGAACAAGTTAAACCGTGATTATACTTCAAATTTATGCTCTTCTAGAAAATAATTTAAAAAATCTAATATCTACCCACACTGAAGACCTGAATAAAAGCATAATACAGCAAAGCCCACAGTAGAGTATAATCAGTTATGCACGATTTTTTGTAGCATTTCTAATTCATGTGTTATACTTGTGCTCTTTCTATTATGTTTTATACTTTTTTTCTGCAAAAAAAAAAAAGAATTCAATTATGAATGTTGGAAAGATTTTTTTTTTCTATTATATTCTTTCCCCTACCCTCCTCCCAATTTTCCATGCCTTTGCAAGGGAAATGGTTAATCTGCTGGTAGTAAGAAATAGAAATTGATCTTCATTCCTTTCACTAACAGTGAGGTGAGATTTTTGGCTTCAGGAAGGCAATTAAGTTTCTAAACTGAAAAAAGTCAAGTTACTTTATTTTTAAAAACTAACCAGTTGGCAATTTCTCTGTGTAGTAATTCTGAGTAAAACTTCTAGGGCCTTCCAAGTTGAAACTGGGATCCATGAGTGAGACAAATAATCAAGGTGTCCTTGGAAAGTCTAATTCTTATGTCATGGTCCTCTAGATTCTCAAGTTAGGAATCCTGTTGGAATCACCTTTCTTTGTTAGAGCTGTTATAATGACCCCCCCCCCTTTTACTTCTTGCTCCTATTACAATGTCTTCCTAATGTCCCACCCCAATCCTTTATCCTAAGGAGAGAGGTAGAACTCAGAGTAGAGTATGTATTACTCCACACGTGGGGACAGAGCAGGGGAAAGAGGAGAGAAAGGTGCTAGTATATGCTGGGTTTAAGGCATGCCTCTAGGAGTCCAACTCTGTCTAAAAACCAAGGCAATCCCAAGCATGCCCAGATGGTATTGCCCAGATCAAGGGTATTTAATATCAATAATATATAATTAGGAAAGGCAGATTAGCAGAGTGGGTAAGTGTGTGAACTCTAGTCAAACTGCACAAGCTCAAACTCTGGCTTTAAAATGTCCTTGCTGCATCTCTCTGCCTCAACTCCTTCAATGGTAGACCGGATATAAAAGTAGAATTTCCCTCATGGGGTCCTTATGAGGACCCATGGAGATAATACATATATGGCATATTTCCAGGCACAAGAGGAGCCCTTCGTAAATGTTAAATATTGAGTGGCTCCTGAGTCCCAGGTGCTCTCCCTGAATCATGTGCTTTGGTAAATACGACAGTGTTCTGAGGTGGCTAGATTATCCTCATGTTAATAGAAAAGACTCAGGGAAGTTAAATAACTTTTCTGTATTCCATTTTTTTGTGGCCAACTAGGCCTTCTCAGAGCCTCTGATCCCCAAAACAAAGAGAAATCAAACTAGGTCAAGACTGTGAGAGCAGGTTCATAGAGCTCTTCTCTGAATCTACATCTGAACTTTCAGTGCTAGAACCAAGCCAGCACTGGTCCCTTTTCTTGAAGTGAAACACAGTGCCCAAATAATAATGGTAACAACTTTGTGTGTCAGCTATTACTATTGTGCCCATTTTATAGATGAGGAAAACGGAGGACCCCCAAAATTATGTGACTCTGTCCATGCTGTAGAGTCCCAGTCATGCCACTGTTTCTAATGGCAAACCTCATGCTCTATCCGTGATACTGCCATGCCTTTTTTCTCTCGGGGAGTATTGGTTGGCACTGCCCCAAATTTGCAGATGCTTCTCCAAAAGATCCTTCTGAATTCTCGCCAAAGTGGGCCACAAAGAAGAAAGGAAAGTGCTTTCTACCTTTCCTGCTCCCCGAGGTGTAGGGAAAGTTGGTTTCAAATGTCCAGGGAGGAATATTTTTACCATCTTTCTGCCAAGAGATGTTATCAATGAAAGTATTCAGTGTCTAGGAAAAATCACAGCCTGTGAATAGTTTAACTTACAGGCTTTTCACAAAGATAAAGCCTGGTTATCTACGCTGCTCGGCTCATTTCTGTTGCAAAGATGCAGCCACTTGCTTTTCCTATATATTTGAGAAGAAAAATCTTTGTGAAGAGACACTGGGGCTTTCTTCATGCCCAGCTGACAAACAGAGTTGCAAATGTTACCTTTTGTGGTTTGAGGGTGCAGAGGGCCACCTGGACCCAGGGCTCTCGAGGCTGGGCGCTCCTCTTTGTGTGGACAGTGTATAAACACTGAGAAATGCACGCATCCCCCACGTTGCTACTTTTACAATGTTGTTTGTCATATGAGATAACTCCTGCCTTCTGTGCTGTATGCTTGCCTAGCCTCCATCAGGAGAGAGGAGAGAGATGGGAGACTAAGGATTGAGAGCAAACTAGACCTTGGCACAGTTTATATAGATGTTTGGGTCCTTGGTGGAGTCAGTATCAATTACAGCCAACATATGGGGGCTTGTAACAGTTAGCAGTGGGCTCTGAGGCCAAATAAACCACGAAGTTGCACTTTGGCCCTGTATATTTCAAGAGTATAAATTTAGCCCTGATACTGTGTTAAAGAAAAGATGATACCATATGGAAATGACTTTACGTGAGGCTTTAACAACTTCTGTCTTAAATGCTTAGAAAAGGAATCTTCTGAGTAGCTTACAGGATCTCATGGGAAACTCCTCTACTTTTTCAAAAACTGGTAAAGGAAGAGGTAAAGAGCTGTGGGATGGACACTGTGCTTTGGAACAAAGATGGCATAGTTTTCTGGAGCTTCCTTTATCCTTCTGGGAATGCAATCTCAGTGCCTGGACTTCCTGGTGGACAGTCCCAACAATGCCCATTCTAAGAAGCTGTGTTTTCTGTGCTGAAAGACATGTGGAATTAAAAAAGAAAAGAAAGGAAAAGAAAGAGTGCTATCTTCCTTCCTTCTAAAGGCATTACTTGTGAAGTTCTGGACTGTGATGAAGACATTTATCTTCCTTATGCTTCCATTTCCTTTATTTCCTCCAGCATTTAAGCATGGCTAATTAGAATTATTGAAAAAAATGTCATGATGGAATAGAGCTCTTGAATTTTATAATTCTCTTACCACTTTTCTCTCTCTCTTTCTCTCTTTCTTTCTTTCTTTTTGGAGAGGTGGAGGGAGGGACAGAGGGAGAGAGAGAATCTCAAGCAGATTCCTCAACAAGATCAGAGCCCAATGTGGGGCTTGATCTCATGACCCTGAGATCATGACCTGAACCAAAATCAAGAACTGAACACTCAACTGACTGAACGCCCCAGGCATCTCAGTTTCTCTTTCTTTCCACAAAGAAAATCAAATGGAAGTGTTAGCCATGAGAACTTCATACTGATTTACATGTATTTCCTTCCACCCCTGAATATTTGTTATGTATGGGGATATAAACATACCGTAGCTCTGTGTTTTTCATTTCCTCCGTAAATAGCATTGTTCTCTGCCTTCAGAAATCATCAAGAATTTGTATATGGTTCCATCACTGACATTTTTTTTATTGTGGTCATTTTCTTGGACTCAGTGTTACCAGGTTAACCTAATCAACAGGGACTGAGAGAAATTGATTTTGTGATATGCACCGTTTATGTGTGAAGTAACCACAATTTCGATTTGGTTTATGAAATACTAGTCTATTACATGATTATGAAAATTTGCTTCCCCAACAAGATTACGTCAAGGTTATGTTCACCTTTTTCTTCTCCTTCTTTTTTTTTTTTTTCAGGCTCAGAAATCCTGGATAGAAAGAGCATTTTATAAAAGAGAATGTGTCCACATCATACCCAGCACCAAAGACCCCCATAGGTAATCTTGCTGTTTCTATAATGAAGTGAGAACACAGAGTAGCAATTACGGGAGCAGAACTACAATAGTAATCACTATCCATTGCAAGGGAACCAATGTCAAAGATTTTTATTTTTTATATTTGCTGGGCTTCTCTGTAACAATCTTCTATGTATACCCCACATAATATACCATGCCTGCGGTTAATTCTCTAAGAGCCTGTACAAAATAACAGATACCCCGTTGGGAAGGAATTAATCACCGTCTATAAGTGGGTTATATGTATTTTTAGTATGGTTACTGATTTTCTCTCCTAAGGATTTCATCAAAATGCTTGGTTTGTACCAACATTCTCTGCTATAATGAAAAAGAGCTTTTTAAACAAAAGACTCCTAGCAGATTACTGACTAGACTGCTGACCAGCAAATTCCTGTCCGAGCACGTTTTTAGTATCCTACTTACCTTACCTTTAGTATTCTCCTTACCTCCCTCATTTTGCCTTAAAACATATGAGGTAAGAAGCATTTGGGATGCAGTAAATATGAATGTCTGGGAATGCCTTTATGGAAAAGCAACATAACCAAGCAATTTAAAGATGTTATTTATTTATTTGACAGACAGAGATCACAAGCAGGCAGAGAGGCAGGCAGAGAGAGGGGAGGAAGCAGATTCCCTGCTGAGCAGAGAGCCCGATGCGGGGCTCGATCCCAGGACCCTGGGATCATGACCTGAGCCGAAGGGAGAGGCTTTAACCCACTGAGCCACCCAGGCGCCCCACAATTTAAAATACAGTCTGTATCCTAACCTTCAAAACTGCAATATTTTATTCATAAAATGAATGTGATCATCATTAGTATTTAATAAGTGATAACTGTGTGTCAGTATTTTTACTAACAGTTGTAATAGTGGTACAAGTCAGAAGGATATGTACCAGTATTATTACTAACGTTTTAATAGTGTTAGTGGGAAAGTATAAAGGCTGTTTCCATAATGTGAAGATTGAATTTTGTTTTCAAATATCTTGTGAATAATATTTTCATTGTTTGTTTGGGAACACTCAGGCTGTAGGTTTTTATTCCCAGAATTGGACATTTGACAGTGAATGTCAGTTGGGGAAAGACAAGTTAGGTTGTGACTCACGTATTAAGTGAGAGTCCTTATTTAAATGTGCATGTTAAAATTCTCCCCTCAAAGCTGTGCAGTGGCTTTCATGCAAGATTTGATAGATGGGAGGAGTGAAAGGTAGAAAAATCTGTAGGGCTTTTGTTCACAGGTTCTGATCCTGAACAATATGGAGGGTCTGAGAAAGGTGGGTGGAGAAGGCCGGGAGGCGTGTTATAGCTTCTCCAGCTAAAGGAAAATGAGGAGGGCCAGAAAAGAAAATTCCTAGGGCAAGTAAATCCTGAGTTCACTATTTGCCTCATACAGCCACGTCATGGGATTCTGCCGGAGCTGCCAGAGAGCTAACTGGCTGGCTACGGTCTGTCGATGTCTCCTGCGGGTCGTCCTAAGTGGGTGCTCCAATCATGGCAGAGACAAGGGATTCACCTTGACCTCTTCTGTTGCAGGTGTTGCTGTGGGCGTCTGATTGGCCAGCATGTGGGCCTCACTCCCAGTATCTCCGTTCTTCAGAATGAGAAAAATGAGAGTCGCCTCTCCCGAAATGACATCCAGTCCGAGAAGTGGTCCATCAGCAAGCACACACAGCTCAGCCCAACGGATGCTTTTGGGACCATTGAGTTCCAAGGAGGTGGCCATTCCAACAAAGCCATGGTAATCAGAAACCCATTCGGTGGCTTTCCAAGTTCCTCCTCACGTTTTGCGAAGGAGAGGCAAAGAGCCAGGGAGGGAGCCTTTGGGCTTGATCCCACGTCTGCCCGATCCCAGCTGGGCAGAGGGCTCTGATAACCTTGGCCTTGTGCATCTCTGCTCTTCTCTGTAGAATGGGAGGAAGAAAAGCTTCTTCCCAGGATTTTTTAAATAATTAGTATGGTTACTGGACACAGTGACTGTTGTTATAAATAATAATAACAAGTAGCTTTCTACAGTGACCCACTGTTTATACTGTTACTCTCTGGGTCTCATCCCTTAGGGCATGTTTTTCTGTCTCCTTCGGTTAAAAAAAAAGAAAAAATTCTTACCTTTAGGTTTCTGTTTTGTTCTATCGGTAACTAGCATTTCTTTCAGTTCAAGGTAGAAATGATCATCCCAGACTGTCCTACCAGAGATCTTGCCATCTAAAGCGAGCGCTTTTGCTCCAAGCAGCTGTATCCAATAATGAGCTCAGGAGAAGAGCTCCATATGAAAAGCGTTTTGTTTGGAACAGAGGCTTTAGGAAATAATATAAATTTTACTTCTAAGAGTTGTTGCTTCTAAATTGCAGCTTTCATCATGAAACTCTCCCTCCTTGGCCGACAGATTTTTTTCCAGGAGAACAGTACACCATATGTTTTTGGAAATTCTAGAAATGCTCTATTTCAACAAGCTTGCCTCTATCAGAGAGAGTTAGTTGAGGGCGGACCAGTGGCTGCTCTCAGGCACACCGGGAAGCTTTCCGAGTTTGGAGAGGAAATTTTGCTTAGAGCAGCATACTGCAAAATGCAAGGGAAGTCACTTTATACTAGTCACAGACTAAAAATGGGGAAAAAGCCACCTCTCTCCCCTCTCATCTCTCCTCCCCTTTCCCTCTATTCCCCCACTCCTACAGTTTTCTTCCCCATGAATGACTGACTGAGTTATTCTCATCATTTTTCCCTATGAAAATCAGTCCAGAGCTATACATTAGAGTAAGAACAATTTTGAGCAGAGTATTGGGAAGGAAAGGGTGCCATGTGCAGCTCCCAGTAAGGCCTGGGGGAAAAGGTGGCCTGTGGGGGGAGGTAGTTAGTCTTGGCCTCTACAAAACCAAGGGCAGTGGAAATTTGGCAATGTCCCCATCCACCCAGGGTATGTATTCCCCTACACAAAGCCATTAAAGTCCCCAGCTCAGCACAGTTCCCATTCACAGTATGGGATTGAACCATATACACTGGGGATCCTCTAGACCCGTGCATTAATTAAAAGCCATCTAAGTTCATCCTTTAAGAAAAGTGCTGCAAAAAAAAGAAAGAAAAGAAAAGAAAGCCAAGGGATGGAAATGGATCCATGAGGGGCCAAAGTTCTTGGCTGGAGATGAGACTATGATAATGCTGAGAATGACGTGTGCCCCCCCAGATGAGAGAACAGGCCACAGATGAGGAAGTGGGTTAGTAGACGGTGATCATCGTGGAGTGGTCTACCCAGTGACATCATAGGGTGCTTGAATGGTGCCCGCGAGCTTTGTGCCGCATGTCGCACAGCTGATACATGATATGTGTATATTATGACATTTGGCAGTAGAAGAAAAACTTGAAGAGACAACTCTTCTGCTCTGCTCTGGGAGTGTGAATATGTATGACGTTGAACTCCCATAGCCCTCCCCAAGCCCCACATAGCTCTGTGACACCCAGAACTATCGGTCAGCCATCAGGTCAGAAAAGGTCAGCTACAGGATTGTAGATCCCAGTGTAAAATGAAAATGTAGGCCCCCAGCTGGGGCACGGAAAGCAATCTTCTTTTATTTCCATGGCTGACAACCCCAACTCACATAGACAGGCAACGATCCAGGGAATGGCTGTCTCTGTCGTGGGACCTGCTCGGGATCTGGTGTGGGTGAGACCTTCCAGCAAGTCACCTAGGAAACACACCACGGCCTGGGCAGCCTAAAGTGGAGACAGCTACTTCCTTCTCTGTCCTTAAATGCTACAGGGAGTACGCCCAACCCTGCCCCTGTCCTCGCCAGTGCTCAGGTCCCAATCAGTGATGGAGCACAAACCCCTTTGCTGCCCCAGGTGACATTGGGATGGGGAGGCTGGACCAGCAGGGACATTGGAGGTGGGAGCTGGTGACTGAGATCCCCTGTCCCAGGGAGGCAGCAGGAGGGGGTAGGATGTGGGACCATGGACCACGTGTGAGCTGAGGTCCCAAGCCCTCTGCACATGCTCTCCCGTCCCATCAGACTTCACGTACAAAACACAGATTCAAGGATAAAACTGTTAAGGACCTCAGGGTAGCAGGTGCAGAGCATTAGACTAAGCACTGCCTTTCTGAGCAGTGTGACCATGAAGCCAGCCCTCACAATAGGTCTTGCGTGTCCTTGATGGTCTCCTAGCAGACTCCCTGAGGAGAAACCTTTCTTTCAGAGTCTTATCAGCCAAACAAGGACCAGTTTTCTTTCTTTCTTTTCTTCTTCTACTTTTTTTTTTCTTCATACAACCAAATATTTAGTGAGTGAGAGTCCCTCCTATCCAGAGACAATGAACATTTTGTCCACTTTGAATACCCAGCCTTGAGTTATTCTGATTCTCCTGTCTAGACCTAGGGGCGGGGCTGACAAGAGGTCAGATGTCTGGCTTTATCAGGCAGGATGGTGCCAACGCGGGCCTTCCTTACTTCTTGCCCTCCCCAACGAACTGGCATGCAGTTTGGACAAAGGGAAAAATCAGCAACTACTGTCTGTTAAAGAATGTCAGTCAGTCTTCAGATGGGGAAGGCGTGGCTAAGTGTTCACCATGATTGAAGGGAAACAGGTCAGCTAACTTGGTGTCTTTGATCCATGTTCCTGACAAGAGTATTTGAAAGTTGAGATGACTTTTAGCAAAGTGGGCAAAAAACTTCTAGAGGGCAGATCAATTTTGACTTTTATTTTTTTTAATTATATACATAACATTAATTTTTACCTTCAAGACAGCCCAAGATGAGGCATTTGGGTCTTCAAAATGCCGCTGTGGTCTGGACACATTGTGAGGTAGAATCCACCAGAGTTTGGTAGAAGGTTCAGTTGGAGAAAAGAGAATCTTTATTAAAATATGGTGGGCCATGGGGAAACCATAATCTGCTTGGAAACATTATGTCTGTGTGTCTTCCCCTAGGAAGGACAGCATGACGTGGCTCTCTGCTTGTGGGATCACAATGACCTTGGGCTACTACAGATGCCCGTGGCCAAGAATCACTCCCAGAGAGTCTCCTTCATTGGTCTGGGTTGGAGCCTGGGCATTTGAAGTATTTTTTTAAATTAGCCAGGTTTTTCTATTCAGCCGGGCTCAAAAAGTACTAAGTGATCTCACCCTACCTGTTTTATAGATGAGGCGACCAGAGCCCAGAGAAGTTAAATTCTTTTCCGAGAGTTACTCGGTTATTTAATGACATAGATAATTCTTGAACCGGGGCCCCTCCGGACTTGCCGTCAGTTCTGTGTCTTCTCTGTCCTGTATGCTTGGTATCGACAATAGATGTTTTGAAGGGAAGCTAATTACTATTCTATTCTAGCTCTCTTGTAAGGGTTTTGAAAACTTTGCAGTAGAATTAGAAAATTACTGTTATTTGATGAGGTTAATTAAACTCAAAAGCTACGAGCAGGAGGAGGTCTTTGTAAAATTACATCCTAGGTTAATGGGGCCATTTTCTGAGCTTTTCCCAGCACTTTGTGGTATCCTGTCCTCAATTCCCAGGCTTGACAAGCCTGGGAATGTGCAGTAGCCCTGGGTCCAGCATCCCACTCACTTCACAAAGAAACCCGGACCCAGGCAGGAGACACTCCCACAGCTGACAGTGAGTGAGGGATCCTCATTTCCTTCTGGTGTCGGCACCAGGTCAGGCCCTACCAAATTGCATGCCCCAAGTGCCATCCCTGGGCTACTGGGGGACCCGGCAGTTCATGCAGGTGCCTCCTAAATGTGAGATTATGAGGACCAAGGAAGAAGATGATGATACTAAAGCTCTGGGTTAGACATTGTCTTAGTAGAATGAGTTCTCGGTAACCTTTTAAAAACTGACTTAGAGGGCAGTCGCGAGATGTAGCCCCAGCAGCAGACGTTGGGCCCTCCCTCTCTCAAAGACTCTTCTTTATCTGGGGCTACGGCTGTAGGTTCTTTAGAAAACAGGGCAGGGCAGGACTCGAGTGTACAGAATCTTCTTTGCTACTAATCATCTCTTCCAATTAATGCTGAGCTGACTTGTGGGCCAGGTAAGTATAACCTAATTAAGGGCTTGTATTTAAACCTCTCCAGTCGTTCATGTAATTATCTTCAGGTTTTCCCTTGGTATTCACTGTTTATTAGATCAGGTTGAGCCCCTGATTACAGCTTTTTATATAATTTAGGTAATTGTTCCTCTGCCTCATTGTCACACTTAAAGCTCTAACTGTTGAGTCTGCTCGAGTGAAAGCCTCATTCTCTGAGCATGGCCAGTGGGAGGATTGGGGTGGGAGGATGCTTCCGGGGGTGGAGAGTCCGTTGGCAACACGTCATCTATGATCGTATGCTCTTCAAACGTTTTGGGATGGAATTTGACTTTTTTTTAAAATTGTCTGTCTTTGAATTATGCACATTTAATCTGGGACTCATCACTGACTGACAACATACCAAATACGAAATTAAATGAAATCCGTTTCACCAAACAAAACAACTAATCATTAGACGTTGGCTTACTAGGCAGCTTTCCATAAGCATGGTAAGGTATTTGAGGGGTTTGGTAATTGTTCCATTGATTTCTACTTTCTACCTTTTAATCTTCAGGCCACTGAATTTGCAGTACCTTTGGGAGGGCTTTCTGAAACAGAGATTAAAATTAGAATATATCACTGAAACTTCTGGACCTGATCACAGACCTATAGGAAAGGAAGGAAAGAACCAGCCTTCCTGCAGGAAACACGTTTTGCTTTAGAAGAGTCCCATCTCGTTGCCTCTAGAATATTT